ACTCAGACTGGATGGACTGGTACCGACCTAGACCTAGCCTACCGCTACTGGGCCTCTAAAAATGCCAACTTTGTCTTCTTCTGCTCGGCCTCGAGAACCCGGCACATCTACTGCTACTGGGTGCGGTACCGGCCTAGCTGCTACTTGAGTGTTTTTCTGCTGCTCTAAGCACCGCGGGCCCCTGGCTCCGCTACTTGAGTGTTTTCCCTGCTGCAACCCTCAATGCCACGGCCACAGGTAAGCACCAGCCCTACGGGCCTACCAAACAAGCAAGTACCCTTGCGGGTCACACACACACTCATGCCAACAAGCACTCAGACAGGCATGCTAGTCAACAAGCACGCACACATACAGACTTAGAAAACACAGCAGAATGCGGGAGTCTCAGCAAGGCCTCCATTCCATCGACAGAACTTCAGAAATCAGCAGTGTTCTCAGTCTGTGTTATGGCGGGTCATTACAGAATTGTCTCAACATCATCAACAATGAACCAATGTCGACTTCCTATCTGGCGCTCAGCGCCCAGACTACGAATGGCGGATCCTATCTAGCCTATCTACAATGCCGCTGGTGACGTCAATAGCTCCCCGAAGTACGAGCAGATCTCAACCAATGCCGTTCTCCTCAAGCACCAGGTATGTCTCACTCTTCACTCACAACCTCGATCCCCCTCACAGATGCCACGTGCACCCAAGGACCACCGTGCGCCCCATCCAACATCTCGCAGACCAGCGCGGCTATGGCTGCCTGCATGTGCCCTGCTGGCCCGTGAGCTGATGGGCGCTTGCCTGCCAATAGCGCAACAGCGCTTGCACAACATGTAGCAAGTGCCTGAATGCCAAATGCGGAGGCAGGCACTTTCCTGTATGGAAGTGGCCCGCCTACTAGGCCCCTGCCCAGAAGCTTCCGGTAGGCCCCAAGTGGCTAAGCCCCTGTCCCAGGGAATCTTCCATAGGGCCTTGGGTGGTTACCCGTGTCCAACTGCCAGAGGCCGGTGTTCGGTTTATGCCCCGTGTCTGGCCCAGGGCCTGCCTCGATACATTTCGAGAAAGGCAGGTAGGGCCTGGACTTACTCAACCAACTAGTGCTGCGCAACTGCCTGAATTTTCCCAGCTGTGTCAATACTAAAACATTAGGCCTCTCGTCACTTATCAGGCCCGCCTTCAGGGCGGCTGTACTTGCTGAAACAGGGCCCAATAGGGTTCACCGAGGCCTTGCGCCTCGCATTCCCTCCTCCATACTTCCACAGTCCTCTGAGAAGTTCACTCGAATCCCAGGGAGGCTGAGCCTCAGACCAAAAGAATCAGGCCCAGGGCCACCGACAGTTATCCGTGCCCAACTGCCCACATTCTGAGTTGGGTCCATGCTGCGTATATCACCCAGGGCCTGACTTAGATACATTTGTTAAAGGAGGCCAGGGCCTGGTCGCCTTCAACCAACTGGCGCTGCGCAACTGCCTGAATTTTTACCCCAGTTGCGAAGTAGTCCAGAATAGGCCTCCTGTCGTCTGTCGAGCCTGCCTTCACTTAGGGCGGCCGACTTGTTGCAAATAGGGGCCCGGTAGGGCTTAGTGAGGCCTTGTGCCTCACATTCCCTCCTCCATACTTCGCTAGTCCTCTGAGAAGTTCAGTCTTCGATACTCTGGCGCTTTCCCTTCTGCAGAGACTTTTCATATTGGGCCACAACCTGAGGAGCGGTTTGCATCAGTTCCTCCCTGGTAAACCATCGGTCCTCCTTTGGATCAGTATGATGTCTGGGCCGAACCCTGTATTGCAGCTTCGGTTTCGGAGGGCGTCCCCTGCCTGTCAGTCTTGGAACTGGCATCTCCTTGTGATCAACGATGTCAGGGGGCAGCATAGAGCGACAAGAGGGAAACTGATCAGTTTCTCTGGACGGTGCAAGCTTAGAGGCGTGAAAAACAGGGTAAGTACGTAAGTGACCAGGGATGCGAATAACATATGACGGCCCATCCGGTTCATCCCCAACAACATCTAGGATTTCCCATGGTCCAAAGTACTGCGGCATGAGCTTGCAGGAGATCCCGTGCTCCTGTCCCAGTTCTGAGGACTTAACCCAAACTCTCTCTCCTACTTGAAATGTGGACGGGCGGCGGTGTTTGTTCTCAGACTCTATCATCGCCGCCTGTGCCTTGTGCATCTGTTTGACAACCTGGTGCATCAATCGCTCATATCGATAAGCAAACTCTAAGGTTTGTGGTGCAACAGAGGGCTGGTTCTCAGGTAATAAGAAATCCAATGGCAGTCTAGGCTTGAAGGTCAATAGCAGACTGTTCGGACTCACGCCCGTTGCGTTGTGCACCACGTTGTTGTACAGGCTGGCGATGAGAGCAAGTTTCTCATCCCAGTCTACCTGATTTGGCTTGATGTAATGCTTGAGCAGGTGTTGTACAACTCGGTTCATCTGTTCTGCTTGCCCATTCGCCTCGGGATGGTTTTCTGATGTCATCGGCAGCTGCGTTCCCTGTTTTGCAGCTGTGGCTTTCCACAGTTCACTTGTGAATCGCACATCACGGTGACTGACTATAGATTTTGGCAGTCCAAAATCTCTGACCGAGTTCTCTTTGAACAACTTAATTACGTACTCGGTCTTAGCTGTTGCAGGCATTGTGACTAATCTAGCGTACTTACTAAATCTATCCACAATGACGTAGACATAGCGCATTCCACGGACAGGCTTTCACCAGGCCTCTCCGGAATCGGAAGGGGCTTCAAGAGCCCAAGAGGAGCCTGTGTTCGTGGCTTGTCTCTCTGACCGACCTGACAAGTTTCCACGTACAGCTTCGCGTCTTTCATCATTGTGGGCAACCAGAACCTCTGCAACAAATTGGCTGCTGTCTTTTTATAACCAAAATGTTCGGTGGCATCATGACACTCTCCTAGAAACAAACTACGCAAAGACTCTCTATCTGGCACAAACAAACGTTTATTCCCTACCTTCTCAAGAAACAGCAGTCCGTTGATCAACTCAAACTCGACAGAAGTCACCTTGTCCTTCGCCTCGAGGCTGCGTATGATCTCAGACATGAACTGGTCCTTGTGATAGGCTTCCACCAAAGAGCGAGTGACATCATCCTCGAGCCCGAACTCAGTAATCAGCGCACCAGAGAAATTGGGCCTGCGCGATAAGGCATCAACAACTTTGTTGTACTCTCCTTTGAGATACTGCGGTTCGAAGTCATACTGTTCAATAACTTCGATCCAGCGCTTCAATGCATCGGAGATCACTGGTTGGGTTCTCATCCACTTCAGGGTCTGATGATCAGTCCTGACGATGAAGCATCTCCCAAGGAGATAATGTCTCTAATGGGTTAGTGCCTTGTAAATCACGTAGAGCTCTTTCTCATAAGTGGACTTAGCCAACTTCTGAGACGGCATCTTCTTGGACATGTACTCAACTGGCCTCAACTTTGGCCCCTCCTGCTGCGCTAGCACGACGCCTATGTCATATTGGCTAGCATCCGTGGTGACTTTAAACGGCTTGTCATGATCAGGAAGTTTCAAGACCTCATGGTGCGTCAACGCATGCTTTAGATGTCTGAAAGCAGCCTCGCACTTGTCTGTTCACTCCCATGGGGTGTCAAGGCGCGTCAGGTCAGTCAAAGGGGAGGCCACCATGCTATAGTTCTTTACAAAATTGCGGTAGTAGCCGATCATTCCTAAGAAAGACCTCATCTCAGTCACAGACCGAGGACGCGGCCAATCATGAATGCTGACAACTTCGCGTCATCGGGCTTCAAACCCTCCGCGGAAATCTCATGACCCAAGTGCAAGATACGGGTGCGGCCAAACTCACACTTCTCCCCGTTTATCTTAAACTTGTGCTGTTGAAGGAGACTGAGAACTTTGTCTAAGTGTGCTACATGCTCCTCGACAGTCCTACTGAAAATAAGGATGTCATCGAGGTACACGATGACAAACTTATCCAAGTAGTCGTGAAATATTTGATTCATAGCGTCCTGAAAGGTGCCAGGAGCATTGCAAAGGCCGAAAGGCATCACCACAAACTCATACATAACGTACTTGGTCTGAAATGCGTTTTTTTGTTGATCCTCGGGCCGGATTGCAATCTGATGGTGCTTGGACTTCAGATCTATCTTACTGAAGTACCGACACCCTTGCACTCTATCTAGCAAGTCGTCGATGCGCGGTAGGGGCTCTCTGTTCTTGACAATGATGGCATTGAGGCCCCTATAGTCAATGCACATCCTCAATGTTCCCCACTTCTTCGATACGAATAGGACTGGAGATCCATAAGGAGAAACACTCGGCCGGATCCAACCCTTCTCTACGAGTTCCTTGAGTTGCCGGCGAAGCTCATCAAGCTCGCCTGGAGACATGTGATAGATCCTACCCTTTGGGATGCTAGACCCTGGGATAATCTCTATTGCGTGGACAACCTCCCTCTCAACAACCCCTGTAGGCTCTTCAAATAGATCAGGGTACTTGGCAACTACTCCCTCTATCTTCGGCAGTATTTTCACCGGCTCACCTGTTGCAGAGACATAGACTAGATACATACCCTCCTCCGGATTTTGCTTGTAATAGTTATAGAAGGAGGCCGCACACATGCTCTGTAGGACTCAATCAGACTACTAGCTTTGAACTTACGTAATCTGGCGGTCCCCCCACCTAGCAAAGTGTGTTTGACCACTTTTCGGTCCCAGTCAAACTGGGGCTGTGCAACGGAGAGGTAGTACATACCTAACAAGATATCCATAGGGAGATCATCGCTCATTAGGAACGAAACATGATGTCTCAGTTCCCCTCCCGCGTACGGGAAACAACACTCAATATTCTGGAGGTATTCATTAACTACCATGCACTGTTTGTTGGCACAGGTCGACTCCACAGGTCGACTCAGGCGCTGCACTTGCCCCTGTAAGCGCAGCCTCTCGACGCGCGCGCGACTAATGAAGTTCCTTGTCGAGCAAGTGTCATAAGAGGCCTCGGCCTTGCGGCCGCCGATGACAACCTCGCCGACGAACATCTCTCCCTTAGGGGCTTTGGCCGATGCCGTCCAAGAAGCTAGTGGGTCTGACCTAGACCACTCCTCCTCTAGCTCCTCTAAGGACTCAAACACATTCATCGAACAGAGGCTTGATGGGTCTGAATGTGTTTGCGGGATGACAATGGAGTCAGTAGCTTGGGCCATCTCTCGAGATGGTGAGGGTGTGTCCACCACCTCGATCCTAGCAGGAACAACTACTATTCCTACTGGCCCGATGCGTTTCTCGGAGCGGTGCCAGAACTGCTGGCCACATTGCTACCAACGGGAGCGGAGGATCCCAACGCTTGCCCCATCATAGGCGGGATCTTTTCGGTCACCTTCTTATTTCGACACTTGAATTGGTTATGGCCATATTGGCCACAACGGATACAAGCCTGCCGCGTGTACCGATCTCTCCACACGTCCTCAGTGAGACCCGCTTTCTCCCATGGAGGAGCATTGGGGTCAACTTGACTCCTAGACCGGGAACCTTCACGGCCTCTACCGGTCGCCTTACCTTTTTGAGCTACGACAACGACTACTCCATCCGTTGAAGCTTCTACGCTGCTGGCCTCTGAACCCACTTTCGACTGGAAGTCGTAGTCCAATTCGATGGTGGAACCATCGTTGTCGACGAACATGATGCGTCCCTTCGCTTTCCAGTTGGGAGGCAGTGACTTTCTCCTACCATCCGTTGTGGGTGTCTGACCATGCCCTGTCTTTGCTTCCAGGTCTAGGGCCTTCTTGCCGAACGAGGGGAAGTTGTGCATGTTGATGTTGGCCTCACCTGCCAACTGATTCCTGAGAGGCATAGGAAAGCATCTCAGGTGGGAGGTGAGTAAAACATGGGCGTCATAGCGAACCCTAGGGACACAGATCAGGCACTTTACAGCGTCAGTGGCCTCTGTTACTGACTTAAACTGCCTCGTGTGCAGTGTTAGGATCGCGTCAGTAGCCATCCAGTTTCTGGGTGACCGCTCAACTATCTTGCTGCACTCCCCTCTAGATAGGAGGCAGCCACAAGCACTTCCTCCTGCTGGAGCGGTATATGGGGATACCCCAGTCACCGGTGGGACAAAAGGAGGATGTACAACGGGCCAGACACCAGGCCCAGACAACGATGGTGCCGCCTGCGCTCGCCTGACCAAGACGGCCAGGCTCTGTTGGATGTCTTGTAAGATCTCCGTTTGGTGATCTTGCATCTCTGCTACACCTAGCAAGACCGACCTCAGGGTCCTCACTTCATCATCCAACTCCGCTGGGTCCATCTCCTCTAACTCGCTAATGTCCGCTTGCCTCCGCTGCAACCTGGCTCTCCTTCTAATCATTCTTTATTTTTCTGTTTTAATCTCTCCTAAAGCCTGTTGTAGTTGTGCCTCGCGATCAGCAGCTTGCTGTATGGCGACCTCCTCGGGAGTCGACACTAATGGCTGGCTTGCCATGACGCCAGTGGACTGACTCAGGGTCTGCGCGATCGTTGACCCTACGGTCCCTGAACTGCTAGCCTGGGAACTCCGCTGCGCTGCAGTTGCCATGGCTGCTGAAGCTGCGGCTTCGCTTGCGAATGCCCTGCTGGCCTCTGCTGCCCTAGCTCTTCGCTGCTGCTGCTGCCTCTCCCTTTGTTGGCGGAACAACAACCTATCACCCTCGGGTCCTAATGCCACGTGGGCAATTGGGCGTCTAGCCGATCGCAAGATCCGGTTGTCCTCACTAGTGGAATCCCTATCGCTCATAAGCTACAAAACTGTACACAATCTGCGCTAAGACACTCTTTGATGCTTACCGCAGTGTAGTGCACAAACCGACTTATAATTAATCGGTGGTTGCGTCAGAGAGTATATACATTTGGGTCCAACAGGTAAGTTCAGGTCCCTACAAACGAAACTACTTTAACTTTGACTAGTTCGCAAACAGAAGCACAATGAACAGAAAACGGTTCTAAACTATGTTGTCTGACAGATGTTAATGGTTGTACATCTAACTAATCAAAATAAAAATAGAATCATTTGTTGGGTCTGTTTGCAGAGTGGAATCTTGCCCAAACTTATCACCTAGAATCTACCCCTCCCTCAGTTCTTCTTGAACGTCTCTTGTCGTCAAAGTCCCTGAGCAATCCGGACAGCATGCGTGTCTAAAGGTGTGCACACAACCCACCCCTGTGCCCCGAGTCTTGCTGAGCTGGCCAGCCCTGCAAAGTATTTATCCTCGCGTGCAGCGAGCCTTACACCGACCGATTGGTTGATCAGGAGGCGTTTATATGGACGGCCCCCGAAGTCCTCAGGAATTCTTTAACGTCGCAGACAGGACGACGATCACATCCAATGAAAGGTACCCCACTGATGCTTATTTATAGACGCCCGGTCTCGTCTGTCCCCTAGGGCTGGCCTGCCCTTCAGAACCCCTCTACAGTGCAGCGAGCAGACAAAGGACAAATCAGCAAAGCATGCATGCTCTACTCCCGGTGGGTTGGCATGGTGACCGTGACCCAGTGCTTCGTCCAGGGCCCTTCAGATAGCACCGCCCTCTCCTTCCAGACGCTCCACGTGAAGATTGACGACTCTCAAGGTTGAGCGCACACGACTCCTCACATGAGAGGACTCTCAAGACAGATCACACATCCTCACCGTAAGAAGTGTCCAAGAGGGTAGATAAGGTTAGGGGCAACGTACCTCAAAATAGCTGCCCCCAACCACAGATATTCTCATCAGATGACCCGATGTTGATTGTGATGACCAGTTGCCGCTTCGGCACAACCAGCATTGCACAACCGTTCCACCTCAGCATCAATCGCACACCGGATAGTTCTCATCACACTGCGAACACCCAATAATCACCGCTTAGCCTTCCTGGCGAACCCCTCTCCACCCGGGTCGCCTACTTATCTTCGCCCTCCTCACTATACACATCCCACGGCACGGTCGCTCACCGTACACACCGCGTGCATATACCGCATAAGGCAGAAGATAAGCGCCAGATTAGCGCACCGAACCACAACTCTGATACCAGATTGCAAGGAAGATGAGCAATAGCGAACTTCAGCAATCAAACAACATCATACACATGAGACCAGATAGTCGTGACCTCGAATCAAAAGCAGAATTGCATCACGAGTTTCACCAAATAAGAGCACACCAAAAGCTCATAATTGACAATGCTGGAATAGTCTCATCATCATTAATGAAGAACCAATGTTGATATCCTATCTGGCGCTCGGCGCCCAGACTACAAATGGCAGATCCTATCTAGCCTAGACTACAATGCCGCTGATGACGTTAACAACTTCCAAGTACGAGCAGACCTCGGCCAATGCCGCACGCATCAAGCACTAGGTATGTCTGTCATACCACTCACAACCTCGTTCCCCAACTCACAGATGCCACTTGCACCCAAGGACCATCATGCACCCCATCCAACATACAGCAGCGCAGCTCGGCTATGGCTGCCTGCTCCTTCCAGCTCGCCTGTGAGCGCGTGAGCCTGGCAGGCGATAGCGCAGCAGCGCTTTGCGCACAAAGCAGCCAGTGCCCGAATATCCAGTACGTGGGCAGGCCCTTCCCTATATCGAAGTGGCCTGCTGCTGCGTGCTGTGCTGCGGTACCGGGCCCCGGCCTAGAAGCTTCCGGTAGGCCAAGGGAGGCTGAGCCTCAGTCCAAACGAATGAGGCCCAGGGCCACCGACAGTTACCCGTGCCCAACTGCCCACATTCTGAGTTGGGTCCATGCTGCGTATCTCGCCCAGGGCCTGACTAAGATACATTTGTTAAAGGAGGCCAGGGCCTGGGCGCCTTCAACCAACTGGCGCTGCGCAACTGCTTGAATTTTTATCCCAGTTGCGAAGTAGTCCAGAATAGGCCTCCTGTCGTCTGTAGAGCCTGGCTTCACTTAGGGCGGCCGACCTGTTGCAAAAGGGGCCCGGTAGGGCTTAGTGAGGCGTTGTGCCTCACATATATATATACGATATAAATATATATATATAAATATATATATTGTCACAAACAGAACTGCCCGGTAAAACCGTAGGCAGAGAGAGAGAGAAGAGGACAACAAACGAGGGGCTGTGACAAACTGTTTCGTCGGAGTTTCACCGACTCATCAGGAGGCTGTATATATATATAAATATATATATATATATATATTGTGACGATATATATATTATATGTATTTATATATATATATCTATATCTTCTCTTTGTCTCTCTCTCTATCTTCTCTCTGTCCCCTTTGATCTTCCTCATGCATGCGCTATTTCCCCCTCTCTCTCTACTTGAGAATCTTGACTCTGAATACATCCGCTGCTACTCAGCTCTATCTGTACCACTAACTTATGCGGCTATGGCCGCCTTCCCTCTCAGTGCAGCACTGCCCAGCAGGGCTCTCGTGCGCATGCTACTCGCAGATCAAGCGCTTCAGCAGCACTTCCTCATTTCTCACGAATGAGCAATCTGTCCAAAATGTGGCTGGCCAATCCTTATATTGACTTGGACTGAGCTTCAACTCGTCCCAGCCTCTGCTTCTTGTGTCTTGACTTGGTTCTGGTACCACATGTCCACGGCCTGCTTGCTTCAGAATGTCAAGGCCTGGTTGCTTCAGAATGTCAAGGCCTGCTTGCTTCAGAATGTCAAGGCCTGCTTGCTTCAGAATGTCAAGGCCTGCTTGCTCCTCCGGAAGATGTAGCGGCCTACTGCCCTCTTGGGCGGTGACTTCCTAGGCCGAGCGGCCTCCCAACAACCGGTACCTCCTCCCTTTCGGAGGGAAACATCATTGCAGGCTCTGCTATCGTCCGGACAGGCCCTAGACTCGGGCTGCTTGGACTGGTGCCGGCCTACCTCTAACCTACCGCTACTGGGCCTCTAAAAATGCCAACTTTATGCCCTCTTCTGCTCACCTCCAGTACCCGACACTTCTACCATTACTTGAGTGGTACCGGCCTACCTGCTACTGGAGTGTTTTTTCCCGCTGCTCTAAGTGTTGTGGGCCTACCCCCGCTACTTGAGTGTTTTCCCCGCTGCAACCCTCAAAGTCACAGCCACAGGTAAGTACCGGCCCTGTGGGGCCTTTCAACCAACCAACAAGTACCCTTGCGAGTCACACACACACTCAGCCGACAAGCACTCAGACAGGCACGCAACCCAGCAAGCACGCACACACACAGACTTGGAAACCACAACAAAATTCGGGAATCTCAGCAAGGCATTCATTCCAGCGGCAAATCCCAGAAATCAGCAGTGTTCTCAGTCTGTGTTTTGGGGGTCATTAGACTACCCCCCTCTCAAGAGCGAGGTCCCTTCGAGCGAGTAACTCGTTCAGAGTCGGCACAAAATGCGTCGTAGGCGTATATCAGAAAGAGATATTTAGTATAACCGTGAGGAGTGAGTTTTGCAGAAAAACTTAGCAGTCTGTCCATCAACGATCTGTCGTTCATAAGCGTTAACAACACGGGGAACATTCTCTAGCAGCTCTTTTCGGTTGATCCAGTAGAACTCGTTCAACGGGTGATAGAGGAAGTGAACCTTGTACTGTCTGTTTCTCCCTCTTCCTTCATGGGAAACAATTCTGTCTATCTCATGGCCGCCGTTGATAGGACAAGGTATCATAGGATCTCAGAAGGGAAAAGTCTCATCATCGATGTGTGAAACAGTTTGGAAGCGTGAAAGACCGAATATGTGCGCAAATGAGGAGGCACGTCAATCACATACGAAGGACCAAAATCATCCCCAACCACCTTTAGAACTTGCCAAGGGCCATACTACAGTGGAAGAAACTTTCGTGATACACCCTCTTCGTCAGAAAACCCAGACATTTTGACCCATACATAACTTCCTACTTCGAAGTTCCCTTCTTTGCGCGATTAGCATGTTTGATCAGGCATGCTCACGCTTGTTCATCACTGGGATAGCAGCTTTGAGCAAGAGTGCATACTTGGCATTGTAGCCAGGCATGTCGGGCGTCAGACCAGGTGACCGTTCGGGGAACAGATAGGAGAGAGGATTGCGCAACTGCCAACCATATTGCAGCTGATTCGGTGTCACGCCAGTTGCAGAGTGAATGGAGTTGTTGTACAACCCCTTCACTTTGTGCAACTCTTTGTCCCACATGTTCTGATCTGGAAAAATTAACGCGCGAAGTAGTTCAATGACAGTCTGGTTGATTTCCTCGGCCAACCCATTGGCTTGGGTGTGTCAACCAGAAGTCATGTTGAGTTTAATGTCATAGATTTGAGAGGTGAGGTCCTTCCAATCAACACTAATGAACCTGGTGTCCCGGTCACTCACAAAAGTTTTCGGGGGTCCATACTGTAAAATGTACTGCTGGTGAAATTTTTTGATCACAAGCTCAGTTGTTATATGAGGAGGTAGATGAATTAAATTTAGAAATTTCGAAAAACGATCCACGATGACCATGACTTGTGAGTGTCCTCCCTCACTCACTTTCCCCATGTCCGTGAAATCGATAGGGACCGACTCACTGGGCCCATCAGGAATTGGGAGGGGTTTCAACAGGCCATAAGGCTTATCCCTATAGACCTTGGTCCTTTGACAGACTTGACATTCAACAATAAATTTATGAGCAGATCCATTCATTTCCGGCCAATAAAACTGCTCCAAAAGATCCATAAGTCTTCTCAAAGCCGAATTGTCCATTCCGACCATGTGCCAAATCCAAGAAATAAGTCCGGAGAGGTGCATGGTTGGGTACACACAAACGATCAAACTTCCCATACCGGCGGAATATAGGACCACTGCACTCATGAAAATCAGGACGACTGCTAGGGTCAACCTTGAGCTGCTCAAGGATGGGACTAAGGTCCGGATCCTTAGCAGTGTGTTCGACAAGATCCTCCTTCAGTTTCCTTCGGAGGTCATATAAGCTCACAAGGTAAGTCAAAAACTCAGGATGACGCGACAAAGCATCAACAACACGATTATAACAGTCTTTCTTGTGTTTCAGTTCAAAACTGTAAACATCAATGTCATGCAACCAGGGGGTCAGCGTCGGAGAGAGATCAGTTTGCGTTTTAATCCACTGCAAGGTCTGATGATCTGAGTAGACCTTGAAGTGGCGACCCAAGAGGTAGTGCTTCCAATGTGTGAGCGCTTCTTGCAAGGCATAGAGCTCACACATAAACGTGGAGGTAACTACCTTGTGGTTGGGCATGCGTTTGCTATAATATTCGAGCGGACGCAGGCCATCGCCATCATCTTGTTGCAGCACTGCACCAATCCCATACTGACTCGCATTCATAGTAACTACGAACGTGAGGTTAGGATTCGCAATGCGGAGCACGGGATGACTTACCAAAGCCTCTTTCAAGGCTTGGAACGCAGTCTCACATTTCTCACACCACGCATATGCAACATTTTTGCTTGTTAGTCTCGAGAGTGGGTGAGCAATGACAAAAAATTTCGGCACAAACTTCTGGTAATACGAAGCCAAACCAAGAAAAGAACGTAGTTTGTGTACGTTCGACGGTTGAGGCGACTTTCGTATGACCTCAACCTTGGTTGCCTTCGGCTCAAGGCCGTTTGCAGACAACCGGTGCCCAAGATAGATGACGTTGTCCCTTCCAAACTCAGATATCTCTAAGTTGAGGTGCAACTGGACCTCCTTGAGGACTTGCAAAACCTCCTCAAGGTGCTTGACGTGCTCTTCCATGGACTTGTTGAAAATCAGGATGTCGTCTAGGTAAACAACAACAAACTTGTTGAGCTGATGGCGGAGAACCTTGTCCATGAGGCACTGAAATGTGGCTGGTGCATTCGTAAGACCGAAGGGCATAACGATGAATTCGTATAGCCCATCGCGTGTTTTGAATGCAGTTTTGTGCTGGTCATTCGGATCAACTTCAATCTGGTGGTAGCCAGACTTGAGGTCGATCTTGGAAAAGACCTTGCACCCACCTGCAACATCTAGCAGATCATCTATGCGAGGCAAGGGATAAACGTTCTTCCTGATGATACGATTTAGGCCACGATAGTCGATACACATCCGGAGTTTGCCTCCTTTCTTTGGCACAAACAGGACAGGTGCACCGAACTCAGACTCACTAGGCCTAATCCATCCACGATCAATCATGTCGTCAATTTGTCTCCTCAAATCCTCCAACTCGCCTTCTCCCATACGGTAGACACAACCCTTTGGAGGAACACTCCCTTCTATTATCTCGATCTTGTGTTTGACCGGACGCTCGGGGACTCCACGAGGTTAAGCCAAAACTTCAGGAAATCGATCTAATAGACGACGCATGTTTGTTGGGACTTCCGGTGGAGGATCATCCTCGTCAGGAGAGAGAAAATCATATTGAGAATTTACAGCAATAACAACCGAATTCGACGTAGTTGGATCAGAAGTAGACTGATTTTTTACAGTAAAAGTAGATGGAATAGAAGTAGAGATAGTAGAAGTAGAATTACTTTCCGAGGTAGAAAATGCAGCAAAAGTAGAAGGCACATGGAGGGGCTTCACAATGGCTACATGCACATGCTCAGCTTCCTTTCGCCTGCGCACCGATTTGCAGAATTTGTTTGCACTCAAAAGAGTCACTGGGGACTCGCGCGTCTCGTCTAATAGAACAGAACGCTCGTTCCCCTTTGCATCACGCACCACGAACTGAGTATCCGCCCACGTGGTCCTTAGGCAATGAGCCTTTAACCAGCCCAAGCAAATGACCGGGTCGAAAGGACACTTGTCCAAGACGTAGAAGTTCAGCTCATGTGTAACAGTGGGATCCTTGTCAAAAGTGACGCACACACCTTTGACAACATGTGTTGAGGTAACAACCTCTTGGTTTCCTACCTGGGTTTGACAAGGGTTCTGCAATTCCACTTGCTTCATTCCCAGGCCCGCCTTACGAATCCCATTAGGAGAAAAGAAGTTAGTCGTTGAGCCATTATCAATCAGCACACAGATGTATCGGCGGTTAATGAGCAGCTTAAAGAAGATCAGTTCCACACTCCCTTGAACACGGTGTTGCTGCTAGAGCTGCAGCCAATATTCCAAGTGAGAGTGAAAGTTGACTTCCTTAGTCTCCTCCCAAGACTCAGTGTAAAGTACTCAGACTGCAGCAGCCTTGGATTCAGCATCAGTCCGAGCTTCAAGAGCAGGCTGTTGATTAGATTCAGGCTCCTTGGAGGGGCCTGCAGCTGACTGTTCAACTTCCCTTGTTGTAGAGAGTGCTGATGACTCTTCTAAGCCCTTTGCCTGTTTCCCTGCAGATGATAACATTCCTGCATAGCGTGCCCAGGCTTTTGACAATGCAAACACACGCGCAGTTTGGATCTTCTCTCCCATTCCTTTTGACTAATGTGTTGGGCTTCCCAAGGCTTGGTGGAAGCATTCTCCGGTTTCTCAGGGATCTTTGCATTCTTTGGCAGGTGTGCTATAGTTCCCCTACCCGAACCACGATTAGGCCCCTTGCTTGAAGCATTCTTTTTTAAGGCATTACATTTTTCTTCTTCATTGATGTCAAACTCGAGGGCTTGATGTAGAACAACCCATATCGGAGTCCGACTCTAGCTCGTCATCTAGAGACAGATCTCCTGCGTAGGACTGATCCTCAGCCTCCCAATGTTCATGCAGGGCAAGCTCATTGCTGCTTCCATACCGCTTGCGTCGTGAGGTTCTACCTGCAGCGGGTGTCTTTGCACTCTTGGCGGGGTCCTTGGCTTCTAGGTTGACTAGATCCGTCAGTAGCTCACGCCAGGTCGTATGGTCCTTGAGTCCCAACCGGGAGACATAGTCTTCAGGGGCCCCTCCCATTACTACATCCATGCAAGACACGTCAGTCCATCCTAGGTTGGGAGTGGTGAACAGACCAGTCAAGTGCTGCTGCAAAGCCTGCGTGGAAGTCCTCCACTTTTGGCCCTTGAGGGCCTCAAGCTTAAGCCTTGCCTTGAGCGCCGCATGCTTATCTTGATACTGCGCGATCAGGTCCTCAAGAGTACGTACAGGAGTTACTTTCAGCCACTCAGTCAGGTCAATCCTCTCATAACCTGCAGTAACAGCTTGGAGTTCTATGAAACTCCGGACGGCGGGTTCCATATTTGTGCCCATGATCATGCTTCGGTCTTCCTGCGGTGTTCGCAGTACCTCGAAGTATGAGCGCATGGAGCTGATCCAAGAGGTGATGTCCCCCTTCCCGTCGTACTTGGACGGCAGTGTGGCCGCCCTCTTGTCCACTACAGGACCGCTGTATTGTACACCATTAAGAAGTACGGCGTTTTGGGTTGATGTTCCTGCATTTGGGACTGGGACTAGTGCAGAACTGTCGGCGCTGCCGCTTGAGGAGTTGGCACCGGTTCCTGCGCTCGTCACAGTTCCACTTGCTCTTTGCATGAGGACTGTGTTAGGGTGAGAAACTGGGGCTGCAGCAGGACGAGGATTAGGAGGACAGGGGGCAGCCAGTTGGGACTGTTTGAGGTGGACTATCTCAGCCTGCAGCTCTTGGTTCCGCTGCTCTAGAGCTGTCACACGAGACTCAAGATCTTCCAAGGTCCGCAGCCGAACCAAGGCTGCTACGGCAGCAGCTAGGTTCTCTTGGAACCGGCCATCTCTAGATTCCGAAACCTCGAGGAGAGCCACATGGGTAGCAATGCTTGTGGCTTTGACTGCTGCCTTTGCCTCCCTCTCTCTGTGTATCGCGTCCTCGTAAAGTTTCTGGAAAAACACTTTCTCGCTCTCGTTCGCTGCGTCCAGCATGGCCTGCCATTGGGCAGATGAGATGTTTGCCAGGCTGGAGGATGGGGTGTCAGTAGATCTCTCAAGAGGGGTCCGCACTTTGCTCACGTTTGGACGAACACTCCTCTTACCCCTCCTCACACTCTCAAAAAGAATACCTTCACTCTCCCTTCTCTCTCTTGCCGCTTTCTGTGCACGCGTCTCAATGCTAGACATAGGTAGTTCAGATAAAAGAAAAACAAATAAATCACAGAGAGCAGAAGGTAGAACTCCTAGCTGGAGCGGCAATTCATTTGGACTTGGAGAATGGCATTCACGCAGAAGAATAAAAATAATAAATAAATAAATAAATAAATAAAAGCAAAAGAGAGGACTGACTTAACGAACGGGCCCGATCATATAGCTGGAGATCCCCTCTTGTCTAACCTGGCAAGGAACATGTACCACGAATTAGTCAACCGAAGAAAACTAACTGCAGCAATGGAGATATCGAGGGGTGCAAACGGTTGCCGAGCCAGACGCAGGGCAGAATGTGAGAACATCCAGTAAGACAGTCAAGATCCCCTTGAAAGGAATGTCCTTACTAGTCGTGTGTCCCCCAAATTCAGCACAGCAAAGAGATGCATTGACGTCAACAGATTTGGATCCTAAAGGTCCTGTCCCATTGGGCCTGGTCACACTGAGTCCCAAAGGGTCCCAAGTAGGTCGTGGACCAGGACCAACGAGATAGGTGTACCAAGTCAGTCCCAAACTGCCTCTACCGTACTGAAAAGGAAAATACAACTTTCAGCAAGAACTTACCCCTACAGCCGTTCAGAATGACAAGGCAATGCACTGTAAAAAGATATGTTATTGAGACCAAGATACATCATCCATCCATCCATCAGGAGAGAAAGCAATCCACATGCTCACACACACAACCAAGACCGCAGAGAAGAGGAAGAGAGCCCAGCACACCCCAACAGGCCATGAAGCACCAAGCAACCTCCCACGGGCATACCTAGGTCACACAACACTTGCCTGTGAGGCCCGACCTCCAAAGATGGATAACGACTCACCCCCCTCTCTCATAGGTCCTCCTGACTCCTAGCTACCACTACACGAAGTGTCCTAGCATGACTAAGAGGGCCTCCCTACACCCCTGTTACAACGCCGGATCCTCCGTCGATGTTTGAAGACCAAAGTAGCAACTTGCAGCTCTTCAATGCAGATATGGCAGCCTCCGATCAAGTCTCCGTCTTGAGGGGAAGCCCAAAAGTCACTCAATGTCTTCTTGAAGTGCAGATTCCAGGTGCGAGTACCTCTCACTCTCTACTCCCTCTCGCTTACCCCAATCAGCCTCCTTTGTGTCTCGCCACCTGATTCAATCACACAAGCAACCTGGTCAGGTCTGATGTCGACCCTACATGACATAACCAGGTGGGGGCTGCATCCACATACCTCATTGCCCCTCTTAACCCAACCCTAATCCAAGATTAGGCTAGCCCTAACCTAATTCGGAATTAGGTTTAGGATCTTTAGGGTGACTAACACCTCTCGCCAGCAAGTAAGTCCGCTCCGATACCAATTGTTACGATCCTGGTCATTCCCAAAGTGCAAATTTACAATGAAAGACAATGCCACCCAATTGCGAAAGAAATGAAAGCACTTGCAAAGAGATAGAGACCAAAGAAGAGAGAAAGAAGAAGAAGAAGAAGAAGATGGAGATGTACACCAGCAAGACCAATGACAAATCCCCCTTCTCTCTCCACCTTCCTTCTCCTCCTCCACTTCCCCAATCTTATTCTTCTTCCAATAGTAATAATAACAATGAGTGGATGAACCAGAATCAATGTCCGAAGTTCGCTCTTACTGCTGACATCACAATAGGTCCACCATAGCTATGGCTTCCCCCCTTCTTCCACCTCTCACATAACTAGGCTATGGCGGACTACTGAGGGCTCTGCCCTCCTGTGCAAAGGACAACACAAAGCAGCTATGTCGCTGCACTCCTGTCCAAAGGACAACCCAAAGCAGCTATGCCGCTGCTGACTAAGCCGCAATGCCTGACTCTGCCTCGAGCTTCCTTGGTGCGGCACTACCCCAACTGGGGCCTTCCAGATGCAGCGCCCAACAAGGTGATGAAGATGGTGTCCACCATAGCCAGGTAGGTACCTCGCCACTCTCCTGCTTTGCCCCCTTCTTCCTCCTCCTCAGGCTGGGCTGCTCGCCATAGCCAGGCTGAGCGCCCAGCTGCTCGTCAGCTCCAGGCAGCGCTACCCAAGTCCAGCGCTTGGCTCCAGCAGCATGTCGCCAATCCTTGCATAACGCAAATGAGGAGGAGCTGCTTGCTCCCCCGGAAGATATAGCGGCCTACTGGCCTCTTGGGCGGTGACGTCCTAGGCCGAGCGGCCTCCCAGCAACCGGTACCTCCTCCCTTTCGGAGGGAAACATCATTGCAGGCTCTGCTATCGTCCGGACAGGCCCTAGACTCGGGCTACTTGGACTGGTACCGGCCTACCTCTAACCTACCGCTACTGGGTCTCTAAAAATGCCAACTTTTTGCCCTCTTCTGCTCGCCTCCAGTACCCGACACTTCTACCACTACTTGAGTGGTACCGGCCTACCTGCTACTTGAGTGTTTTTTCCCGCTGCTCTAAGTGTCGTGGGCCTACCCCCGCTACTTGAGTGTTTTCCCCGTTGCAAGCCTCAAAGTCACAGCCACAGGTAAGTACCGGCCCTGTGGGGCCTTTTAACCAACAAGTACCCTTGCGGGTCACACACGCACTCCGCCGACAAGCACTCAGACAGGCACGCAACGCAGCAGGCACGCACACACACACACACACTTGGAAACCACAGCAGAATGCGGGAATCTCAGCAAGGCATTCATTCCAGTGGCAAATCCCAGAAATCAGCAGTGTTCTCAGTCTGTGTTTTGGTGGGTCATTACATTTGCCTCTGGGATATGACTTTTCAATATGAGACGTGACTTTTGCTTATAGAACGCAACCTTTGCCTCTGGGATGTGGCTCCTTACCGGGTGCCTGTTGGACTTGACTCCTAAGGTACCCGACTGTGACTTTTCTGAAACTGACCGACTTCCCCTCCCTTGGCCTGGGACCTTGACCCTGAAATTCGAATTTTTGGTCTGCATCGTGGAATGCCGTTCAATTTTATTTTATTTTGTGAATTGTTTTTGGTGAGTTGTGTAGCATGTAGGGTACAAGCCTATAAATTTTCAGGGCATTTGGCTGATTCAAAAAAAAAAAAAAAAAAAAGTGCTCGCCCACTCACTATATATATATATATATATTGTCAACAGTTTGTCACAGCCCCTTGTTTGTTGTCCTCGTCTCTCTCTCTGCCTACGGTTTACCGGGCAGTTCTGTTTGTGACGATATATATTGTCACATAACTATGAACTAAAAGAGCACAATTTGCGAAACAAACGGCAAAAATAAAAAATAAAAAAAAAAACAAGACAAACATGAAGGGCATAGTGAAACCATTCATTTTACTCATTCTGCTTTTGACTCCCCTTTCACCGTGCCTCTCACGTACAAGGCTCGCCACGTTGATGAAGTTGAGCGCGAGCTGCCCCCATCCCCATGTGCCATAACAGCCAACTTGTACGCTGTGAGAAAGAGGCAGAGTGAAGGGGGAGGGGATAAACACAGGGAGGAGAGATGGAGAGCAGACAAACAAAGAACGATAAAGGGAAAGTAAGGGAAAGTATGGAGTGTGGAGTGAAGATGAAGGCAAAAGAGGATAAGAAAAGGCTCAAGAATGAGTCTGCCCTTGACGACAGAGAGGACATACATTGTAAGGATGACGTGGATGAACACATGGAAGACCTAGATGAGCATTCTCAGTGCAACAATTGCCACGACGGGTGGCATTGAGCATGCCCGCCATACACCCCCGACAAATGGCATGTCGATTGCAGGCCAAAATGAAAGAAGAACGGTCACGACAAAAGAGCATGCATTCAGTATAGCGCCCATGGCCGCAAAATGGACATATAGTGTCCGGATGCGGAGGGTGCCTGCAGTCAGGAACGGTGGGACAGTCTGCACACATGGATGCAGAAACCATGTCATTGTAGTGGTTGTGACGGAGACGATGGCGGCTACAGCCGAGTGTAACAGTGTTTGTGGTTGTGCAAAGGAGAAGGTTGCAGAGTGTTGGTGCATTGTCTTGGTGCAGCACGGGGCCAGAGGAATGATCTTCAACATAAAAGAGATTGCAGACGGTTTGTTGTGGCAAGAAAACAGCATCATTTTGTAAGAAATCAGTGACATCAATCATGGCATGGACCATGGTGCCGTTGTCCCACAACTTCCAGTGGTCAGAGGCATGTACAATGGCCATGTATTGGCCAGGGCCGTGCACAAAGCAGGCAGAGACATTGCGTAGTTCAAGTTGACGGTCCCTCATTGCTACTTGTAGGACATCAATGGTAAAGCCTCCTTTGCTGGTATAGTTACAATCCTCTGGCTGTCGTTGGGGAAGATCAACATCAAGCTGAAGGGCGATTGCAAGGAAGTCTGATGGTGTTTAAAACGGGTGATGGAGAATGTAAAGACAAATAGTTGTCGTTAGACCACAGAGATTGGTGAGGTTCTCAGGCTGGTTTGTTGGATGCTGGCCAACAATTTGTAGATCATCCAGATGGTGTTGCATGACCAAACTGATTTGGGTTGTTTGCTGGTCAGTCATTTGCAGATCACCCATGTGGTCTGCGTGTGGCGGAGCACAAAATTGTGGTTCATCCGAGCAATGCTGGTCAGCCATTTGCAGATCCCCCATGTGGTCTATGCCTTGTGGGGTCAACTGCAATCCAGGCAGATCATGTTCCAATCCCTCAACGTCTAGGGCTGCATCCTGAGTAGGGACTGTACCTGGAGTCGGGAGTGTACTATGGGCAGCGGTTGCATCCTGAGTAGGGACTGGTGGCTGCCTGCAGGCAGCTGGACTGTCTGCAGGAGGCATAGGAACGGATATTGCCGTTTGAAACAAAGGAACCTTAACAATCTATGGAGGAGGCACAAAGAGAATCGGGGCAGACAAAGAAACAGGTTGCTGATCCCCGGACAAGTGACGATGTCGTGGATGTTGTCAGTGATACACAACAAGGGGAGTAGTGGTGTTGCAAATAAAAGTTGAACTTGTACCTGGCAACGCAAATGGAACAATGG